ACCTGCTTGCTGTGCTGGTGCCTGGAGCCGGCCCTGACTGTAGCTGGAGGACAGGAGGCGGCTGGGTTGTCAGTGGCCAGCAGCAGCCTGTAGGTGTTAGCTGCCTTTCGACACTGTTTGGGCAGGAAGGGACAAGCTGCTTCCAGCCACGGGGATGTGTGTGTGTGGGGGGGGGGGAGATGAGCTCTGCAAAGACACGGGCCAGGTCACCCCTTCCCCTCCCGCTTCTCCCCTGTGGCTGGAAGCAGCTCCCATCCCCTTCCTCCCACACAGTGCCGAAAGGCTGCTGCTGGCCACATTCTGGTGTGAATCTTGGCAGAAATCTGGGGAGGGAGGGCGTGTGACCCTGCATGCCCCCCGCCCATGTATAATTTGAATATGACTCCCCAGAAGAAGCACTGCTAATGAACCACCTTTCTTCTCCCTTACTAATGGGCACAGACATTGATCTTTGGATTTAGGTGTTTTTCCATTTCTAGGCTCCTGATAGCAGCCTATTCTCAGGTCAACTGCTGCCAGATGTGCTATGGAGCTTGTGAGACAAAGTATCATAGGAACTGCTATACGGGATCCAACCACCTAGTCCGGTGTCCTGTCTCTGACACTGGCCAGTACCAGATGCTTCAGAGGCGGGTGCAAGGAACTCTGAAGTGGACAATGATGGGTTAAAAGGAAGAATGAGGGCTTACACCTTCCAAACTCGTGCGTTGTTTTATGTCATCACTAATGCATCCTGGACATTTCCATCATCAGTATAAATATCTCATCCTTTGCTGAATCCCGCTAGGCTCTCAATGCTATCTTATTGCAGTGAGTTCCACAGGCTTGTTGTGCATTGTCCTGCACCTCTTCTCTGTTTTCAATTTGCCGCCTGGGTTCAATATCCAGTTCTGATACTGACCCCTCGGGCAACTCACAGCCTCTCTCTGTGCCTCAGTTTCCCCACCTGTAAAATGGAAGTAATGATATCCACCTTTGTAAAGTGCTTTGAGCTCTAGATATGAAAACAATAAGAGCTAAGTATTAGTATTAGCAGCTAAGCACAGCAGGCTGTCACTACTTGGGCAGGCAGCCTTTCAACCATAGTGATCAGACACTCGTGCCCCCCACAGCTTCTCCCCCCGCCCGCAACAGCTCCCCTTTCTAATTCCTGCCCTGGGCTGATGAAAGAGAGAGGGCCCTGCGTGCACACGCGCCAGGCAGAAGGAAGAACTTGAGAAGCCCAGCTCTCAATGCCGGGAAGGTACACCAGAGACCTCTGCCAGGGGGCCCTGAATCCCAGCAAGGGGGACAATGAGTCCGATCCTGCTCGTATCTAGGGGGTAAATCAGGAACAACCTCCCTCATGATAATAGAGTTACACCGGTGTATGCAAGAGGACAATGAGGCCCTGAGATTCCTTCCTGAAGTGGCCAGAGAGCCTGGTGGTAAGCCCCTGCCCACGCACAGACACACTCCCTCCCTCTGCTAGCCACCAGCCCAGCTCAGTGGAGAACCAATGCAGCACGGTCACAAGGAACCAGTACAGCATGCATACGATTGTCAGCTCCTTGGGGCAGGGGCTTTCCTTTTGTTCTGTGTTTGTACAGCACCATACATACAATATGATGGGGGCTAATTTAGCTACAACAAATCAGGAAAAAGATCTTGGAGTCATCGTGGATAGTTCTCTGAAGATGTCCATGTAGTGGGCAGTGGCAGTCAAAAAAGCAAACAGGATGTTAGGAATCATTAAAAAGGGGATAGAGAATAAGATGGAGAATATCTTATTGCCCTTATATATGTAACCCTTCTGCCCATCTAAGTTGGCAGCAACAAGGGCCGGGTTCTGTATCTAGGGGTTCCGTTTCAATAACACAATGCAAAACCGGCTCGAGCCCCCACCCAGTGACCTGGGACAATTACATACCACCCCCTGGGCGCCTCTAAGAGGCAATACTTCCCCTCTCGCAAGCACGGAGTCTGAGTGTAGCAGAAAATGTTTAATAACATGAGGTAAACGACATTAGCATTAAATTGGAAAAAACACCAGAAACAGGATTCATAACACAAACCATGAGCAAAAGACCCACCCCAGCAAATTGGGCCATGTCCTTTCCATTTGGTTCTTGAATCCAGCAACCCAAAAATCACCCAGAGTCCCCAAAGTCCAACACCCCTAAAGTCTCTTGGGTCCAGCAACCACCCAAAGTCCCAAAAGTCCAACAACCCCTCAAGTCTCTGTCCCTGGTCAGTGCAGCCCCAGAGTAAAAGGGGGGCACACAGAGTGTTAAGGGGCACCTTACGTGATCCGAGGCCGACTGGCCGTCTCTCCATGGGGTTCCGCCACAGCCTTCACCATGAGCCAGTCCACTTCCTGCCATCCCACGAACTGCTCTGCTCTACGAGCTGCTCCACTCTGCTCACCGACCTGTGAGCCACTCCAGCCGTCCCCACAAATGGCTGCACTCCGCTCACCGACCTGTGAGCCGCTCCAGCCGTCCCCACAAATGGCTACGCTCCGCTCACCGACCTGTGAGCCGCTCCAACCATCCCCGCAAGGCTCCGCGCTGCTCCTCCAGCCATCCCTGCAAACTGCTCTGCCAGCCACTTAGCAATATAGCTTCAGGCTCCCCCACTAGTTAACACAGCACTCAGTAATTTTAGCTCATTGTAGGGGAGCCCCAGTACTGGTGCACCATTGACCAAAAGTGAATTCAGCTCAGCAGCCTGTAACTAGACTCCTAATAGAATCATAGTTAGCTCTGACATTCACCAGTGGAGAGAGGAGATGGTACAATTGGTGCTTCAGGCCCTCAAAGGGGGCCCATACCATCAGGTACAAATACCTGTCCCCATTCTTTCTCAAGTCACTGGGTTGTGGAACCCATGTCCCTTGTCTAGCGAGAGCTACTTAGGTGATGGTGAGACCCTCTGTCATAAAACAGTTTCATTGTCCTTGATTCACCTAATCAGGATAGCAACACTTTATTCCTCCTGCCCCAATAACAGAGAAACTGGGGATCCCACCCCATCCAAAGTAACCACTATCAGTTGCTGTTGTCTCATGCTAGGCAGGTGGGTGTGCCTATGCAAACAAGATCAGCCCCTGGAGTTCTTTTCCACACTCGCCATAATTCACCACCAGATGTCAGGGTAGAGCTCATCCTGACTCTGCTTACATATAAATCGATGGTACGCCCACATCTTGAATACTGCGTACAGATGTGGTCTCATTTCAAAAAAGATATACTGGCACTAGAAAAGGTTCAGAGAAGGGCAACTAAAATGATTAGGGGTTTGGAGAGGGTCCCATATGAGGAGAGATTAAAGAGGCTAGGACTTTTCAGCTTGCAAAAGAGGAGACTAAGGGGGAATATGATAGAGGTCTATAAAATCATGAGTGATGTGGAGAAAGTAGATAAGGAAAAGTTATTTACTAATTCCCATAATAAAAGAACTAGGGGTCACCAAATGAAATTAATAGGCAGCAGGTTTAAAACAAATAAAAGGAAGTTCTTCTTCACACAGTGCATAGTCAACTTGTGGAACTCCTTGCCTGAGGAGGTTGTGAAGGCTAGGACTATAACAGCATTTAAAAGAGAACTGGATAAATTCATGGAGGTTAAGTCCATTAATGGCTATTAGCCAGGATGGGTAAGGAATGGTGTCCCTAGCCTCTGTCTGTCAGAGGGTGGGGATGGATGACAGGAGAGAGATCACTTGATCATTACCTGTTAGGTTCACTCCCTCTAGGGCACTTGGCATTGGCCACTGTCGGTAGACAGGATACTGGGCCGGATGGACCTTTGGTCTGACCCAGTCTGGCCGTTCTTATGTTCTTAGCACCTAGCACACTGGGGTCCAGGCCCAGCACTGCTGCTCCTAGGCAGTACCGCAATAATACAATAAAATAAATAATAATAATTAATGTTATGAGCTGGGTGAAACCTTGTTATGAGTTAAAACCCCATTGAGACCGACAGGTGTGAATTCGCTCTTCAGTTAACATAGCTATAAGCAAAGCCCCGACAGAAGGTGTGTGTGAACCCACCCAGGAGCTTTTGGCTGAGTAGTGTGTGCGTGTGTGTGCGTGTGCACACGTGACGAGAGAGAGGGAACACACAGAAACTGAAAACGGACACGGATGCAGAGAGAGGCAGATACAAAAAGCGAGAAAGCCAAGCAGTCACTTGTGAGCACAGTGTGACCTGGGAAAAGCTAGAGGGAGCTTTTAGTCTGCTGGCGAAAGAGGCTTGGGGTTGTAATCCAAGAAACTGCTGCTTTTGTTCTTGGTTCCTCCTGCTTTCTGAGGAGCAGGACGTGGTACACTGCTTGTAAAATAAACAAGATTGAACCATAGAAAATACCAGACTCCATCAATTTCTGCTTCCAGGGCAGTGATGAGTTAGGGGGCAGGTTCCCAGTGGAGCAGAGAGCCAGGGGATGATCCCAGGGCAGTGAAGAGTGTGTGTGGGGGAGGTCCCCAGTGCCCTAGGGCAGCAGATCCAGAGAGTGGTCCCAGGGCATCAGTGAGTTGGAGCTGGGTCTCCAGTGTCCCCGGAGAGCAGAGAGACAGGGAGGAAATCCCAACGCAGCAGTGAGTTGGGGGGCAGCCCC